AGATGACCCAAAGATTATGAGTTCAATACCTGGTTAAGGCAGTGGAGAACTTGGAGAGGGAAATTAACAGGAGATAACTGACACTCATTAGACATAGACCAGTCTACTCCAGTGAGTGAAAGAAATGGTTCAGTTCCAACCACCTGAAGAAGGCCGGAGCGTACAACGTTATGATAAATACGGCGACAAAAATGAGGACAATAGTCCGAATAATATAAATAGTGCATATATATATATATATATATATATATATATATATATATATATATATATATATAGTTCTGGTAATGAATCGGTTGGTATATAATCCATTTGGATCCATGATCCATAATCCATGTAATTTAAAATATTAAGACTGATCCACAAAAGAGCTCAATGTATTTGTTATGAGAGAGAATATCAATAGAATTACAACAAAATCCCAAATTACCTTATATATACCGGGGTTGAATAAGACTGACGTAGTTTTGTCGGTTGAAATAGATCTATGCCCCCACCGCCTCTGAGGTAATTTTGGATTTTGTTGTGTAACACTATATATATATATATATATATATATATATATATATATAGAGAGAGAGAGAGAGAGAGAGACAGACAGACAGACAGACAGACAGACAGAGACAGACAGACAGACACATAGAGATAGATTTTGGGTTAGTTAAATCAAATGACCAGATATAAGCAAGAGAATAGGCGTGTGTTGGGCTGGCGTGTACACACAGGCAAGGAAATAAATAATCATCAAATTTGGCCAAGAGGTATAAACGTAATAGTGGTCGATGTGGTTAGACAGAGCAAAGATATGTATCAAGTGGCAGTATAACCCGTCTTCCACTGGGTCTTTCATTACTGGGAATTTTTGCCGTTCCATTAAAGCGGGTTAAATTTAAAGTCAGCCCTACCAAAAACATATATCCAAGAACTGATAGCAAATAATAAAACGTCTCTGAGAGTTTTAGTTGAAAGGAAGTAGTAGAGAGCCATTGGCGCCAACATTTTGGAGTCAAAAACAGCACTGAAGAATTATCTATCAAACAAAAAATAGTTCATCGAAATCGGAGTAAAACTATGGAAACGCATAAACAACATCCAATCACACACAAGCACGCACACACACACACACACACACACACACACACACACACATATATATATATATATATATATATATATATATATGTGTGTGTGTGTGTGTGTGACACCATTTTGGGAAGAAAAAGAAAAGGAAGAAAAGAAGGAAAGAAATGAAATTTTGATAGTGACAAATGGTGAAAGGTTTCATTGCCATTGCAGAAAATTCTAAATAGATAAAATTGACTGTGTCGTGGTGGCGGACTTATATTATCGGGAATAGATAACAGCCACTTGGTGCTGGTGAAAATCTAATTGACAAATTCCAGATCGGCTAGCTAAACTCCGGGACAGAATAGATAAACATTTAACTGTGTCACGGGACTTCCTGACCGCCCACGAGCTAAAAGAAAACAAAGGAAAATAGGTTAAGTCTTTGTCGAGGGAAAGATATCGTTAGACAAGGTCTGGGTTTTGTTAGGATGTGGCGATAAGAGTGAAACAATATTATCGGAAAGGTTGGCCGTAATTGCTGGACGACCACCCATTCTGATATTTGGCGAAAATCTGACTGACGAAGTCCAGATGAGAATTGAGGTTATCACACTACTGGTCGCATTGTTCTGTTGGCGGCCAGAGAAGAAGAGAGAATAGAAAAGAAAAGAAGGAAAGGAAATAGAAAAAAAAAATAAAAAAGAGGAGATAATTTTTTTCTTTTTTGAGCAAGATATATTTTTTTAAGAAACAAGGCTAGTCTGGTCACGCCCACATTGTTGATCCACCAATGGATGAATGTTAACGAGAGTCAGGCGGAGGTGATCATGTGATGCAGGGGAGGAGGCCTGCTACTACTGCTTAGAGAGGATAGGTATAAGATATTACTGCGAAGAAGTGGGAGGATCGTTAACGCCCTCTGAAGGTAGTGGTAAGAGAAGACTTCCAAAAATGGAAATAATAATTTTTTCCTGACCGAAAACAAAAGAAGGGGATTGTGGATTTGGAATTATCAAGGACCCTCAAATCCCAACAAAGCCCACCCCGGTT